AAAACTGACTGGCTCATTTTTAAAACTCAAGTAAAAGCTTTAAGATGTTACTGAGGGAGTCTCTGGTTTTAAGGGACCAAGCTCAGCTTCCAGATAATGTCTGTCCATCTGTGGTATTAAAAAAGGATGTCCTATACTTTATGTGATAATGTGGGGGAAGAGGGTGTTCTATTTGCATGTGTGTTTTGTTTTTGTTTTTGTTTTTGTTTTTGTTTTTGTTTTTGTTTTGTGTGTGTGTGTTTTGTGTCTTTTTTTGTTTGTTTGGAGAAACAGCCATGAGATGCAGCTAATAAACGCCCATGTTTTGCTGACACCAAGTGCACCAAAGGAGAAAGAACTGATGGGAGTAGTGTGATCAGGATAGTCATAGTGTTCTCACTCAGATTTACCATTTTCTTGAATATTTTGTAAGTTGCACTTGAAAAGAGAAAATCAGATGGCAAGTTTGGTATGGGCTATGTGTTGTCTAAGATGTGCTTGCCTTCCCCGGAAACTCATGTTGGTACTCCTTTTAATCATTCAGAAATAGCTGAAGTGAGTCTGAAATGAGTGTGAAACCAGATTCAAAGACACAAGATAAAATCTGGGAGATCTGAGTGCAAAACTAGCTCCACATCTCTTTTTAGGGCTAAGAGGCTTGGTATCTGGGAGAGAAGGGAGGGAGAGTGCAGCTGAAATGCCATAGATAGTATCTGGTAAGCCTGCAAGAAAACAGCGTGGTTGAGTTGAAGGGCATCATCCAAGGTTTTGAGGCTCCCCTTCACTTCCACAGAGTAATGGCAACCACAGTGGTGACTGCTCCAGTAATATAGTACAGTAGTGCATTAGACACAGTGCATTGGACAAAGTACCTGTCTGAGTTTAGGGCAGGATGGTGTAGTGTGGCAGGATACTTGGAGACAGGTGCCACAAAGAAGAAACCATCAGCATCAGAGTTAATGCATTGGAGCTATAGTGCTGAGGTTAAATGAAAAGTAAACAGATTTTTTTTCCTGTACTTTCCACCTTCTCCCTCTTTTACTTTTGCTTAGTGTGGTATCCATCCATTCCTTGGTGCATTTTCCCTTTGCTCAGTGGTAACCAGCTCTACAAACCTGTCTTTGGAGCACTGTTCCCATCTATCCAGCCTTTTCTTTGTAAAGTCTCTTTCCCTCTCTCTTTGCCTTTTAGCTCCTTTAAACTGCAGCAAGTTCATTTTCTGCAATACTACTTTATCCATCACTACTGTGTCTAATCTGCTTCAGTCTCTGTCTACCGTTGATGGGGAATAAACACTGTCATTACCATTCAAACATTCATAGTCCCAAGGTCGAAAACAGTTCCCGCACATGTAGCCTTCTCAACTGTCCTGAGAGGGGACCCATATGTGTTGCCTGAACTGGAATGAGGACTAGGCATTACAAAAGGTGCTTGGGACCCTATCTACCTGAAAAAGATTGTTTAAATGTAGTTACTGCGGCTGCTCCAGTCTCTCCCAGGGGGTTACTTACTGGTATCTCCCTTATATTTTAACAAAACCATATTGACTTGTGTCCTGTTGTTTTCCACTAGTTCTCAAAACAGGTCTTTTCTTGTTCCGCTAGCAATGAAGATTCAATGAACCACACAACAGTAGTGGAATTTGTCCTCTTGGGGCTGACCAACAGCCGCCATTTGGAGATCATCCTCTTTCTGATTCTGGTGATTGCCTACTTCTTGATCCTGTTTGGAAACGTTACTGTCATCAGCATCACTCTAGTGGACCATTTTCTTCAGACTCCAATGTACTTCTTCCTCAGGAATTTTGCCATTTTGGAAATCACATTCACCTCCACATTCATTCCTAGCACCCTCTACAGCCTTCTGACAGAGAGGAAAATAATTTCCCTGCCTGGTTGCTTTCTTCAGATGCTGCTTTTCTTTTGCTTGGGTACCTGCACTTTTTTCCACGTGGCGGCAATGTCCTTTGATCGGTATGTTGCGATCTGCCGCCCCTTGCATTACACGACTATTATGAACAACAGATTTTGCTTCCAACTGGTCCTGGCTTGCTGGGCAGTGAGTTTTCTCCTGATGTCTCCTCCCATCATTATGATTGCCCAGTTGCCTTTCTGTGGTCCCAATGTCCTGAACCACTTTTACTGTGATACTTCACAGTTGTTGCAGCTGTCCTGCACAGACACGTGGTTCATGGAAGGACTGCTGTTTATCCTATCAATTATCATTGTGCCAGGCACCTTAACAATAACTGTCATTTCATATGGTTGCATTATTATCACCATCCTACATATGCCATCTTCCTCAGGAAGGAAGAAAACATTTTCCACTTGCTCAGCTCACCTTGTGGTGGTGACTGTATTTTACAGCACGTCTATTTACAGGTATAACCGCACAGCACAACGGGGTGGGCAGGGCTCTGACAAAGTTCTTTCTTTCTTCTTCTCTGTGGTGACTCAGATGCTTAACCCATACATCTACTCACTCAGGAACAATCAAGTCAAACGAGCGTTGAAGGAGAGCATGTCAAAGGCATTTTCTAGCTCCCGGAGGCAACCATGAGAGCTGGAGTAGACCCTCCAAGTGACTGAATTGTTGCCCAGATGCATCAGCATTGTGCAAATGAATTAAAGACTCTGAATTCAAACGGTTTATGCTTTATAAATGTTACATAGTACCTTTTTCTGTTAGAAACCCAGACATTCCAACACAGGCAGGGTCTTCTAGTCCACCAGTACCTGCACTTGGGTTTGCCTGTGCGTTCTTTCCACTCGGTTCTGGTGGGTTAGCCTTGGCTAACAACCAAATCCGCTCCCAGCTGCCCAGTGTAGGGCAGAAGAATTTCTTCCTTATATTTAATCTAAAGCTACCCTCTTTTGCTTTAAAGCCACTCCCCCGTGCACTTTCTCTGCACTCGCTGATAAAGAGATCATAACAATGTGTAACAACCACTGTGATGTAACATATAGACAAGTTAACACAGTGTGTTGTTTGTATGTTTGAGGGTTGTTGTTTTTTTGTTTGTTTGTTTGTTTTTGTTGTTGTTGTTGTTTTGTTTTTGGTGGTGGAGGTGGGGATGGTGCTTTTTTGTTTGTTTATTTGGTTTTTGAGATATTTTTCCTGTTTGGTTCTTTAAATACAGCTAGGTGAGAAGGTAGATTTATGTTTGCCCTAACAAGAGCTGAATCCTTTTGGACTGGTAACATCAGTAATTTCTCCTGTAAAGCTTGTTTACTGTCTTTACATTTCTTAGCCAGTGGATTTGGTTATCTTTACTGACTTTGATATATCTTCTTTTTCTTTGTTTATTACTTCTATGGATAAGGATAAAGGGATGGCCAACAGGGCAGACATCCTACTGGGGGTCTGTTATAGAACAAGAGCCAAACAAGGATGAAGAGACAGATGAGGTGTTCTATAAGCAGCTGGCAGATGTTGTGCAATCACCAGCACTTCTTCTCATGGGGGAATTTAACTCCACGGACGTATGCTGGAAATACAATACAGCCCTGAGGAAGCAGTCTAGAAGATTCCTGGAGTGCGTGGAAAATAGCTTCCTGACTCAGGTGGCTAGTGAGCCTAACAGAGGGGTTTCCCAGCTAGACCTACTGTTCACAAACATAGAAGAACTTCTGTAGTCAGACCAATTATCCTCGGGGTATTAAGCCTCCTGACCTAGAAGTCTGGAATGAGGAGTAGAAGAACCCCCACACACAGTACATTTGGAAACAGTTACAGAATAACACAGAATCACAGAATTGTAGGAGTTGGAAGGGACCTCAAGAGATCATTGGGTCCAAACTGCCTGCCAAAGCAGGTTCCCTAGAGCAGGTTGCCCAGGTAGGTGTCCAGATGGGCCTTGAATATCTCCAAGAAGGAGACTCCACAACCTCCCCGGGCAGCCTGTTGCAGTGCTCCATCACCCTCACCGTGAAGAAGTTCTCTTGCGTATATTTGTGGACCTTCCTGTGATCCATTTTGTGGCCATTGCCCCTTGTCCTGTCCTCAAAACCACTGAACAGAGGTTGCCCAAATCCCTCTGTCTCCCACGCTTAAGATATTTGTAAACATTATTAAGACCCCTCTCAGTCTTTTCTCCAGGCTAAACAGACCCAGGTCTCTCAGTCTTTCCTCATAGGGAAGATGCTCCAGGCCCTGTATGATTTTTGTGGACCTCCACTGGACTTTTCAGAGGAGATCTCTGTCTTTTTAAGCAGTTAGAGACCTGCTGCTCCACCTGGACTGTCACAAGTCCATGGCGCCAGATGGGATCCATCTGAGGGTGCTTGAGGGAGTTGGCGGATGTGATTGCTGGGATGCTTTCCATCATCTATCAGCAGACATGGTCATCTGGAGAAGTCCCAGATGACTGAGACTTGCTAATTCAATGCCCTTAAAACTACAGGTATGTCACCCTGACCTCACTGCCAGGAAGGGTGGTGGAACAGGTCATCTTGAATGCAATCCCACGGCATATGTGCGACAACCAGGGGATCAGGACGAGTCAGCATGTATTCATGAAAGGCAAGTCCTGCCTCACCAACCTCATCTCCTTCCATGGCTTGGACAGGTACACTCTTTGCTGGGTTAAAAACTGATCAGGCCCAGAGAGTGGGGCCAGCTTTATTGCCATCTGCGACTAGGCAAGGCTTGGTCAGCTTTTTTTTGTATGGAGTGGAACTTGGTTCTCATGCTTTCACTTGGTAGCATTAGGACAGGACCTAATGTTTTCCCTGTGAAAGCCTTAAGGCATCTGTAGAACCAAGTTGTCTAAGCAAGGATTCAGCTGAATCCCCCCATACATCTCCAGTTTTACATTTCTGCTTCCTACAGGCTTTGAAGCTGCTGCGGGTTAGCATTTATGACAGGCAGGAATCTCCTTTCTATGCAGCCACCTCAGTGCCTTGTTTGCTGGTGCATTTGATTCATGGCATTGCCATCTCAGCTGGAATACCAGCACATGCTGTTGAACCTGCAGAGTGCATTTGTAGTTCAAAACCTAGTGCTGTTCATATGAGGATGTCCCTGGAGACAGGGATAAGGGTTGGGGAGAAGAGGGCCAGCTGATGTTGGGATTCAACCCCAACCCGCTTTTTGCTGTTATACCCACAGGCTATTACCGCCCTAGCCCCACAGCTGAGTATACTGAGGATAGCCCTGGAGGGAATTTTGACTTCTTCTCACGCCTGGTGAGCTCCTGGGAAGCTGCAGCTGTCATCCCTGATGGTCCAACTCGTGGTGTTCTGGTGAGATCTGGTAAGACAGGACATCATGCGTGTCTGGAGTGGCTGTGCTTTGGAGCTGGGGCAGGAGGGGAAGGGGTGGGAGAAGTGCAACAGATTATGTATCTTGTCTTGTTGGGGTGCGGTCCCAGGTCCAGCCCTCTAAGGATTGTCTCCTGGCTGTAGGTCTGGGGCTGGAGAGGGCCCCTGTCTCACTCTGTTCTTTCCACAGGTGTAGTTCTGGGCCGAGGTGGTGGCGCAATCTCTCAGATGCTCTGGCCATTCTGGCTAGGACTGGGAAGCCCCATAGGGTCTGGGCACCAGCCATTCCCGTGGATCCACATTCAGGACCTGGCTGGGATCATATGTCATGCCCTGGAGAATGAGTGCCTGCAAGGGGTCTTTAATGGTGTCTCCCCTTCTTCTCCTGAAACCTCCAACAGCACCTTCACTCAGGAGTTTGCTGCAGCCCTGGGACGCCCAGCCCTACTGCCAGTGCCTGCCTGGGCCATGCGAGCTGTCTTTGGGGTCGAGCGGGCTGTTATGTTGTTGGAGGGCCAGAAAGTGGTACCAAAGCGCACCCTGGAGAGCGGCTACCATTTCATCTTTCCTGACCTTTCTGCAGCTTTGAAGGACATTGTGGCTTGAGCATTCCTTGTTCAGGCTGTTTAGGGCCTTGTTTTTGTGGTTCCCTGGCTCATATACCTTTCCTTGGGTGAAAGAGGGTGTCTTTTCCTGTTCTGTCTTCTTTTGTGCATCTCCAGCTTAGGAGACATCCTTCCTATTTCCAACTGCAATCTCCACATCACCTGCTTTTGGTGAAGGGCACGGACCTCTTTAAGGATTATGACTGCTGAATCTGCCATCTCTTTTCCACAGCATGTATGAGAGCTGCTCACAGAGCACCTTGGGGGAAGGATGTCTCTGCCCCCTGCAAAAGAGGTATGGTAGCAGGGAAGATTTTCAGGTGTTGTAATTCTTCTCTATGTTACTGGAAGTCCCTCTTCCGTTTTTCCCAATGTCTTTCACCATGTGATCACAAGAGACTTAGTTACGCTCTTCTGTTTTGCTTGTCTCAATCTGATAGGAAATTCTAATTAATTAATTGTATGCTTGTAATTGTGTATTTGTATGTGTTTATATATAAAAAGTCAATAGCAGTAGTCAGTAATAAAGCAGTAAGCATATATACTATTACAGTTAATTACAAACAATGCTAGTGAAATAGCAAACATTCTCATTATTGATTACCTATAGGCACATACATACATTCAAAACATAACCAGTACCACTAGCTAACAAATCAATCCCCAAAGTGGGGATCAAGCTGTCTTCAAAGTGGTCTAACTAGGAAGACCACCCTCAGAAAGGGGTTAGTAAAGAAAGCTGACTTTAGAAAAGTCAATTTTCAACTTGACGGTTTTATTTTGCCAAATGGTATGCAGAAGATAGTTAAATGAGGGGATAAACAGCAACAACAAAATAAATCCTACTTCACAGGCAACTATATTTGGTTATTTAGAGCGTGCTACAGATGGTGTTACATAAGGACTGAGGACACTGTGACCTGTACAAGCACACGGAGGAGAATAAAGTGGTCAGGTAGTCATAGGTTCACCAAGGGAACATCACACTTGACTAAGCCAATAGCCTTCTATGATGGAATGACTAGCTGGGTGGATGAGTGGAGAGCAGTGGATGATGTCTACCTTGATATCAGTAAGGCTTTTGACTCTCTCCCATCACGTACTTGTAGGCAAGCTCAGGAAGTATGGGGTGGATGAGTGGACAGTGAGGTACACTGGCTGGATGGAAGAGCTCAGAGGATTGTTATCAGTGATTCTGAGTCTAGTTGGAGGCCTGTAGCTAGTGGTGTCCTCCAGGGGTCCGTATCAAGTCCAGTCCTGTTCAAGTTATTCATCAATGACCCGGTTGGTGGAATAGAGTGCACCTCAGCGAGGTGCAGCTGTTGTCAGCGACTTTGCTGACAACACAAAGTTCAGAAGAGTGGCTGATATCCCAGAGAGCTGTGCTGCCATTCAGAGGGACCTTGGCAGGCTGGAGCCTGTCAAGGTTGAACATCATGAAGTTCAACAAGGGCAAGTTCAGGGTCCTGCACCAATGGAGGAATAACCGAAGGTGCCAGTACAGGTTGGGAGCTGACCTGCTAGAAAACAGGCCTGCGGAGAAGGATCTGGGAGTCCTGGTAGACAGCAAGTTAACTGAGCCAGCTATGTGCCTTTGTGGCCAAGAAGGCCAACGGTATCCTGGGGTGCATTAGGAAGAGTGTTGCTAGCAGGTTGATGGAGGTGATCCTCTTCCTCTACTCAGCCCTGGTGAGGCCTCACCTGGAGTACTGCATTCAGTTATAGAAGGGGGCCATAGAGCTCCTGGAGCAAGTCCAGCAGAAGGCTACAAAGTTGATGAGGGGAGTGGAGTACCTCTCATAGGAGGAGAGGCTGAGAGAGCTGTGTCTCTTTAGCTTGGAGAAGACTGAGAGTGGGTCTTATTTCAATGAGTACAAATACCTGAAGGGAGGGTGTCAAGAGCATGGGGTCAGACTCTTTTCAGTGGTGCCTAGCAACAGGACAAGAGACAACGGGCACAAGTTGAAACACAGAAATTTCCAGCTATTGAGGAACATTTTTTTACTGTGAGGGTGACAGACCACTGGAACAGGTTGCCCAGAGAGGTTGTGGACTCTCTTTCTTTGGATATATTCAAAACCCTCCTAGATGCCATCCCATGCAATGTACTCTAGGTGATCCTGCTTGGCAGGGCGGGCAGATGATCTCAAGAGGTCCCTTCCAACGCTGCGGTGCAGTGCCTTCTTGCATATTAGTGGAGACTTTGTGGATGGAGCTATATTTAGCATATTCTGCATCTACATTGTCTATGAAATATACACTCCAGTAAGAAAACCATGTTCTCTGAAATCCTGGTTTTTCAACAAAAGGAATTAATTTTTCTCAACAAGGAATTATTTGGCCAATTCTACTTGAGAGGCAAAACAAGAGGTAAATTACAGGGCAAGTAAGGGCCAAGACAGAAAAAACGGCACAGTTTATTTCAACTCAAAGTAGAAATTGTGTTAGTTGAATCTCTCCCTAGAAATGCCTTTTGCAGGAATCCTTAGGAATCCATAGGATTCTATATTGCAGATGCCTATAACTGTATAGAGAAACACTACAATCAATGTGTGGTGAGGTACTGGAACAGGTTGCCCTGGAAAGTTGTGGATTTCCCATCCCTGGAAGTGATCAAGGACAAGTTGGATGGGGCTTTGAGTAACTTGGTCTAGAGGGTGGCATCCCTGCCCATGGCAGAGGGTTTGAAGTTAGATCATCTTTAAGGTCTCTTCCAGTCCAAATATATGATTCTATGCCTCCCATAAGACCATAACCACATTGCCTTTGATTTTCACTTAACAATTTCAGTGGACTAGCTATGCTGGACGAGAAGCAAAAGCTTGCCTACAAACTAGAGAAAACTTCTTAAAGATTTGTGATTATATATTATGCTCTTACATAATGTACATCATGGAGTTGCTCCGAAGAGAACTTTATTAACAAACAAAACAACAACAGTTTAATTTACTTTAAAATACTTGTTTGTTTGTTCGTTTGTTTTATTTTTCCACACGTAAGAATGTATTTGGTGACCAGCTTCCACACTGAGCTTCTGATCTCCTTGTTACACAGGGTATAGATCATGGGATTAGTCAGGGGGAAGATGACTGTATGGAAAAGAGCAACAACCTTTTCCATTGGGACAGCTTGGAAGGGTAAGACATAGATATACATAGCTGGGCCACACATGACAAAAACCACAATGATGTGGGAAACACAGGTGGAGGCAATTTTGCTCTTTGTCTTGGAGGACTGTGTCCGGAGCTTCAGCAGCAGGACAGTGTAGGAGATGAGCAGAAGTGAAAAGCACATGACAATGACAACTCCATTGTTGAGAAACATCAAAAGTTCCACTATGTGAGTATCAGCACAGGCCAATTTAACCAGCTGATGGACATCACAGAAGAAGTTGTCCAGGATGTTGGGGCCACAGAAGGGGAGAGCAATGGTAAGAGCAAATAGAGTGATGCCATGGATGAAGCCCCCTGCCCATGAAGCTCCAACCAGGACATAGCATACTGCCCTGTTCACAAGCCTGGTGTAGTGAAAAGGTTTGCAAATGGCTACATAACGGTCATAGGCCATGGCCATGAGCAGGAAAGCTTCAGCTGCTCCCAGGAAGTGGAGGAAGAAAAGCTGGGCCATGCAAGCATTGTAGCAGATTGTCTTCTGGTGTGAGAAAAAGTCAGCCAACATTTTAGGTGGGGTCACGCAACAGTAAGAGATGTCCAAGAATGCCAAATTGGCCAGGAAAAAATACATGGGTGTTCCCAGTTGGGACTCTCCTTGAATTGTGAGAATGATAAGCACGTTGCCTGGGAGAATTATCATATAGAACAGCAGGAAGAAGAAGAAGAGAATCATCTGGACTTTGTGGGTTTGAGAAAATCCTAACAGAACAAACTCTTTAACTACTGTGTTGTTCTCATACTCCATTTGGACTCTGTAAAACCCTGAAAAACAGTAATCAAAGAAAAATGAACAAATACCAGTGTAAATATACTAAAATATTTAATCAACTTCAGGTATACTTAGACTGCCTAATAAGCACATGCTTTGACCATTGCCTAGTTTTAAGGCACTTCTTATGGTGAAATACTTGAAAGCTAGTGATTTAGATTCCCATTAACCTGGGCATTGTACTGGAAATATAAACTGAAAACATCCACACGTCATCAGGTGTTCCACATTTTCTCTACACCCCATGAATGGGCACCAGGATTAAGTGTAAGTCATAAAGTATCAGTCCAGTCTCCTATAGTAAGCTATTTTTTGTGGTTTACAGTGTAACTGTCTATCTGAACTACTCCTGTATACATCCTTTCCAAATGACAAAAGTAGGCCCTTCCAGGGTACTATACAATTCATTCTAATGTAGACAGTCAAACAAGTCTAGATGAATTGCACTCCAATAACTCAGTAAACCTAACAATCACATCCACGGATTATGAAAGAAAGCTAAGTATAGATCACTCATATCTGAAGTGTATTACAATTGAACAATTTAAAATCACTTTACAGTCAATGATATCCGTACAACCAGCCCAAGGAATAAAGAATTCCACCATAATTTTTTTCAATTCAAACACTTTTTAAAAGAATATATTTTCCTCAATTGTCTTTCAAGGGAGCCGAGATCACATACTGACTTCCATCTTTCCTCAAAGAAATCCCTCAGCAGTGTCTAATTTTCCAAAGAAATCATCAGACCATTGGAACCATGAAGAAAATTCAATTATCTAAATATCTCTCTGAAATTAATCCACCAAGAATTGACTTGAAGAGAGATTTTGAAAACATATTGAGCTTTTCCATGGAATGTGTCAAGTCATTTAAATTTGCATACATTTTGAATGAAATTGTGGATTTTAACTCCTCTCTCACAAAGACAGACATTAAAAAAAAAAAAAGAAAGAAAAAAAAAAGAAAACTAAAACAGTCAACTTTAGTTAAATAGAAAGACTTGTAAAATAAGTTCTGTCATTCCTCCCAATTCCATTTCTGTTTCTTCTGAGTCAGAAGAAAGTTACATGAAATTTTGTCTCCCTTTCTTCTCTAATAGCTTTCTTTCGTTTTGCTGCAAAGATGGTATGTTTGTATGCATGACTGTGTCTGCCTGTTACTGCATTAATTACAATAAAATAATGAAATAAAGGAATATAAGGAAGGAAAAAAGAGAGAAAAATACCCTTTAAGACACTTTTTGATGTTTCTGTCAAATATCAAAATTTCTCATCATGCCTTGAAATAAACAAACCAAAACAACAACAACAACAACAACAACAACAAAAAACACATTATTGACATTTTGGGTTTTCTGTATTTCCTCCTTTACTACATGGACAGTTGAAAGGCTCATTGTGCTAGATGCATGTATAAATAGGTTGATAATTGTCCACTATTTAATTTCTCAGCTACCTGCAAATCCATGCCGACAGGCATCTGGAGCTAAGTGTCTCTTTGCCTCACTTTATATTTCCTCTCATTGATTTGGTCGGCTCTGGAACTAACCTAACAACTCTTCCCATCCCATCACGTGCCAGGAAGATTCCTGTAGGAATCTATCACTCCACACTGCTGTCCTTTATCTGACCCCACACACCCATCCAATGCAGTAACACTCACCTCTGCTTGCCTATAGATACATCTGTGGTTGCACTTGACTTTCATGACTTCACATCTCTACCACCTAGGTTGCTCATCCCTAACTGGTGTAGAAGCAACTGAAGCTACATCTTCTTGTGCCATTTTATGTGCTCTGCTCTACAGTTTCAGATATAACAGATCTGACAGCACTGAATACTATGTTCAACTGTTTGAATTCTGCTTTACATGTCTACCTCAGACTTGCATTTTTTCTTTGGACAGATCAAAATTATATATAATCTCTGAATTTATTCCTTGGTTCTGACTGGCATTCTTGAACCTAAATGTCTGTGAAACTACAGTTCTCACCCTTCTTGTCATCCACCGTTCAAAGCAGAATGTCCTTCCTCCTCAGGCAAGGTTAGCAGTCAACATCCCCATACTGGGAGGAGAACAGTATTGCCTGTAATTCTTTTCTTCCTTATTGGTTGTGATAGTTCATTGATTTGGGGTAATTCTCACTGACATCAATTTTATGCAAGACAGCTAAAACCTGAACACCCCTAATTCTTCTGTCTCTTATCTACTGTTTTCCCAAGTGCTTCCCAGGTACCAACAAGATCTCCAGCTACCAAATTCTTAGCTTCTTTCCAAGCCGTGACTTTATTTCTGAAGCAATCCCAGCTTTAAAATCCTACAAAAGCTAAAATGCATAAAAGCTTCAATACATATCTCACTTTCAGGATCTCTGTTGGTAGTCCATCATCTCCGCTTGAAGCTTCTTTCTCTTCCTCTCCCCCACACTCCTATGTTTAGCACTGCTGTGCATGCACCACAGGTTTGGTTCTGTTAAATTCCATGCCCATTTTCAGCGATTTTTTCCCTGTCTGCTTGTCAGCACTAGCACAACAGAATGCAAACAAATTGCCCATGACCTTTGATGCTTCACTCACCTCCTGCGGATAAAGGATGAGTGGTGCATGCCAGAGGATGAAGAAGATTTTGTTTCTTTGCATCCTCTGTATGTTACTTTCTTTGTCTCTTTAAGAGACAACTGGGGCTGCAGGTGGTTTCTTGTTCCAAGTGTGGAGGTTACACAATTATAGAAAGCAGCCATTCTTCCAGAGTGCTAACTGAGATGCCCAGGGGTCTTAATAAAAGCTCTAAGGTATGTGATTATTTAAGAGCAGGAAAGAGTGATAGTCCTCTGGCTTGACCAAGCTCAGTAGCCTCTCTGTGATGTCGTGAATGTGGGTTCAAGGTAGGCAGCAAACCTCTTGAGAGATTGTGTGGGTGGCAAATAGGTCCCTCAGTGCCTCTCAGAGAGGAATCTCCAATTACCAAGAGCTAAACTTAGCGAGGGATTCAAAGAATAATACGAAGAGGTTCTATAGGTACATTGGCCACAGAAGAAAGACTAAGGGGAGTGTACCACCTCTGACAAATGAAGACAGAGATCTGGTAATGACAGATTGGAGAAGGCAGAGATACTTGACAATTTCTTTGCCTCAGTGTCTTTACTAATGGTCAGGCTTCCCATATCTCTTGAGTCCCGAACCTCTAGGCAGGGGCTGGGAATATTCCTGAGGGAATTGGCTGATGTAGTGTCAAGCCTGTCTCCATCATATTTGAAAATCAAGGCACTCAGGCCAAAGTTCCCAGTGACTGGAAAAAGGGAATATCACTCTCATTTTTATAAATGGTATAAAGGAAGAGCTGGGGAACTATAGACCAGTAGTTGCTCTCCTCTCCTACTTTTGTAGCCCTTCTCTGGACATGCTCCAGGGTCTCAATGTCCTTCTTGTAGTGAGGAGCCCAACACTGAACACTATTCAAGGTGTGGCCTCACCAGAGCAGAATACAGATCACGTCCCTGGTCCCACTGGCTACAATTCCTGATACAAGCGAGGATGCCAGTGGCCTTCTTGGCCACCTGGGCACACTGCTGGCTCATGGTTCAAGCAAGCATCAATCAGCACCCTCAGATCCTTTTCCTCTGCACATCTTTGAGCCACTTTGCCCCAAGCCTGTAATGTTGCATTAGGTTGTTGGGACCAAAGTGCAGGACCCGCCACTTAGACTTGTTGAGCCTCATCCCATTGGCCTCTGCCCATTGATCCAACCTGTTCAGGTCCCTCTGCAGGGCCTTCCCGCCCTCCAGCAGATTGACATTTCCCCCCAGCTTGGTGTTGTCTACAAACTTACTTGGGGGTGCACTCAATTCCCTCTTCCAAATCATCAGTAAGATATTAAAGACATAATCTGGGTGACTCTTACTGTAATACTGCTGATGTGGCATATAGCAACCATAGTAGTGATGACATATTGTATTATATAGCAATTAACATAATACAATTCAAATCATTGTTTTTTCTCAACCGAAATTAAATCCCTTTGAGCAAAATATGGGACTTCCCCATGATTACGCATTACCATCAAGAGCACCCAGGTACTTGAGCAAAAGCAGTCCCACAAATGGGTTTGCCTTTACCTGAGGCAGGAATAACCCAGACTGTCTTCCCCAGTAAGTTTTTTATACAGGGATATTATCTCCTTCTATGCTGCATAAGAGTTTTGAGTGTGCAGACAGTTTTGGTTGGCAGATACCCTAGTGTTGAGTAACCAGGTGGCCTTTCCAAGTGTCCATGGTCAGGCCTACCCTTCAAGCAGCCTATCCACGTGCTGGCCTGTATATTCCTGACTCCAAAACTCTAGGGGATGACTTGGGGTCTCCCGTGGTACTTTCTGAAAGATGTCGCAGGTGGGGACATTCTTCCCCAGCTGCAGTGTAGAGATGTTTTTAGATTTTTGTCCTTCCTGGACTGGCCCAATGGCTACAGCATGATGAATATCCTGATTAATTTGTACTAAGACTTGTTGTTGGTCAGGGCCCAATTTGAAATTGTTCTTCTTCTGGGTCACTTGATAGAGACAACATACAATCAGACTGTAGTTTGGAATTTGCGTTCTCCAAAAACCCACAAAGTCTAAGAAAGCTTTCTTAGGCCAAAAAAATCCTAAGAAAGCTGTTCCTTTTTGCTAGCTGGTGGAGACATAGCTGTTATTTTGTTGATCACATCCACTGGAATTTGACCATATCCAATTTGCCATTTATTTCTAAAAACCGGATCTGCTTTGCAGGTCCCTTGATATCACTTTGGTCTATAGCAAACCAGCTTTCAGAAGGACTTGGGAGTATTTTCTTCCCTTTCTCAAATACTCCTTCTGCTGTACCGTCCCACTTGATGATGTCATCAATGTATTGCAGGTGCTCTGGAGCTTCCCCCTGTTCCAGTGCAGCCTGGATCAGTCTATGGCAAATGGTAGGGCTGTATTTCCACCCTGGGGCAGTTGATTCCAGGTGTACTGGACACCACTCCAAGTGAAAGCCAAGTGTGGGCCTGCCCTCTGCTGCCAAAGGGATTGCAAAAATGTATTAGCAATATCAGCTGTTCTTCAGCCCTCTTCAGTCCCA